GCATCTACTGAACCAGTATCGGTCTGTTAAATGTGTTAGTGTCATTCATTGCCAATCATTCTTTCAGCACATATTTTAGCCCTCTTCTTTGGTTTCAACTTCATCGCACTTTTTGTCCGCGGAAGCCACCGATACCTGATTCTTTGACTGATTGTTGCTAAGAGAAGTTAGCAACCCAGTGGTTCCGTCGCCCATTATCATCAGTGAATGTGCTGCAGTGAAACCAAGTGTGCGCAAAAGTACCGCGAATATTTGGCGAATAAGCAGCTATACAAATCAACGATAAAACAAGGGGAAAAAGTGCCCCGTCAGTCTATATAATATTTATTTATTTCATTTTTGTGAAAAAAAAAAGAATTATTTTTTATAAATCTCAATTTGTTTTTCATTATTAGTTAGAGAAGAAAAAGGCAGAGGAAATTTAATAGCACATTCTTTGTTGTTGTTCACGAGCTACGTTTATTTGGCATCAGAGAAGATCCGAATGGTTAATGCATCGAAATGGTAAATGAACATAGCAATACACTGTTTTGCTACCTGTCTGGCAACGCTATCTCAACCTATCATTTTCAATCTATTTTTCAATCTACGCTTTTTTTTTCTTTGCAAATTTAGTAAAACAGTGTTTGATGATAAACAGTATTTAATGTAATTTGTTCTCCTGTTGTTTTTTCTTTTCTTATTCGTATTACACCTAAGTTTTATTAATTTTAATTTCAAGACATAAATTATACTTTCTGCTTTTTTTTTCTGCAGTGCAACAACTTGTTTCAATCTACACTCTATTGTTAAAAAGAAGATATAAATAGCTTCAATAATTATTCACTATAGTCAGTCATGACAATTTGTTTAATTCTTTTGAGAAATATGCACCAATTTTGTCGTTAATTTTGCTTGTATCCTTGTTCTGTTATTTTTTTTTAGATTTCCCACAGTTGCAATATCTAAGAAAATAATCTTTGACTACTATTTTTTATGTCCTTTCTTCTGTGTTTAAAAATAGTTATCCAGAGAGAAAAGGGCCAAATGTACTCAGAGTAAAAAGGAGATTTTTTTTTTGTTGTTGTTGGTCTGATGCATTAGAGTAAATGTCTGTGTATATAAACAGAGGACAATGTAGTCTGATATTCGCAAAAAGCCCAATCGAGGTCTTCTTCATTACGGACGCCTTTGAATCGACTTTTTGTGACGATTACACTTACACTCACACATACAGCAACTGCAATTTTTGTTGTCTCTCTTTTTCTTTTGGATTGCTAGTAAAATTTTTACTACCTAATGAAACATAATAAATGAATAAAAAAAATAAAGACATCGTCCTTAACCCTTTTAATCTCAAAATTTACCTTTGTCTTTTCCTCACCATTTTACTTACGTTTTTTTTTGTTGTAGAAACTTGTGTTTGACGATAGTGGTCGTCTCCACCAGTAACATCAGTATCGGTCCAACAACGACAACAACGCGTTATGCAGCAACCGAAACTTAAGGCACCTGGTAAGTTGTCAGTTTGTTTTTCCGTCTATCGCATATTCTGTGGTTACTTATTCATCGATAAACTGATGTCATTTTGGTTATCCTGTCACTTTTTTTGTTCGATACAAGTCAGTTTCGTTTCATAGTAACGACTTTGTACCGAACTCTGCCGGTGCGATAGTGCTTTCTCATTTTTGGCATCATTTTTCACATCGGAATATGTCAAAACATCCTTGATTTCTTCTTCAAGTTTTCTCCTTCTTGTAGCTTTGCAATAACCAATTTGAGAATTCGGTCAATAAGTATGTCGTGCAATGAAAATTTTGTACAGGTGGGTTAACCTTTGAAAGCGAAACTTTGATCTACTAGTCCATGTGTCAGATTCATTACTTGTTGCGTCTAAAAACTGATCTTCAACTTGACTGCCAATTTTTGATCCGTTTTGGCGCTTTTCCAAATATTTTAAGATATTTTCTAATGGCTTTGCTGCCTAAGTTTTTAGTTACTTAATATATATAGTAAATTTTAATATATATATATATTTTTTTATTTTTTTATTTACAGTTTCCTTTCATTGTTTTGTTTTCTTAATTTACATTTAATCAGTTGAAATTGTAAATTACTATAGCCACAATAAAATGATAAATTTTTATTGCAGTATATTTGGTCATTAAAGTCGTAAACCTTTTTGCCAATCAACAGTTTATTTGAGACTTAGTCGATTTAATAGTTTGAACAGTTCAATCCCATTTCCACAACATCGCCTACTTTCTTTTAATCATTCCATTTTTTTTTTTGTTTTGTTTTTAATAGTTTCCAAAAATATATTTTGAATAATTTTATTTATCGGAAAAAAGCGTTTTCTTTGTTCGTTTTGCTTTAACATTCTGCAAGTAAGAATTTATCGAAAAAAAAAAAAAAAAATTGCAACGTGTTTTCTGGATACATTTTATAATTAATGAAAGAAACAAAATTTATATGGCATTTTTTTTCTTTCTCTTTATTTTTTTTTTCTTTTAATTTTTCCGTTGTTCTGCTCCATTGTTTTTCAAAATAGGCTTTTATTTTATTCGAATATTTTGAAATTTTAGCGGGTAATGCAGATGGGAACTATTTAATTAAAAAAAAAAAAGACTGGTAGAACAGTGAGAGCAGAAACAGCGATAAAAGACGAGAAGAGTTGTTCATTAAGCAGCAGTTTGTATAAGTATTTCTTCAAAACGCATTTGCCAAGTCAACCGAAAGGACGTCTGTGTGCATTGGTCGTAATTATATTAGGTTTCCCAGTCGTTAAACATACGTCTTTGTTGGCAAAGCAGTTATATTGGGTCAGGGCTCTTCCGTTATGCAGCATTTTTTTTTCCCTGGCCTTCCTTGTCTCCTCTTTTTCTTGCATTCTGTTCCGTTCCCCTTCAAAATTGCTGTTTTGTGCCAAAAAGACTTTTAGAGAAGCAAATGAAGTCAGGAATGCAACTAAAACTTCTGTAAACGATTTTAAATCAAGCTTTCTTAAGGTTCAGATAAATGTTTTTAGCAGGAGTAAAACAGAGACCACATTGTTCTTTTTAATAAAATAGACTAACGTTAGGTAAACATTACCGCGTTCACGGTTTCATGGATTTTAAACAACAAGACTTAGTAGAATGCAGAAGAGTATTTATAAATTTAACCTATCTGGCCAAGATGTTTTTCCAATGTATATAAACAGTGAAGGTAGAATGGTACATTGGTTTTTTGTCTCAGTTGTGTAAATTTGAAATAAGGGCGAGTCAAGAGACACTACCGACAAGTTTATGAGAGGAGTCGGGTGATATCAAATGCATATATATGCGTTACTTTGTTTGTTGCCAGCGTGATGAAACGGAAGAGTAAAAGGCCAAGGTGAAATCACCAAATTTTTTTACTTTTTGACCATATTAATTTGCAACATAATCTTGTTATAATCTTGACATTTCACTGGTTTTTTCCGCATGCTGACAGAATTTTTTTTCAATTTTTTTTTGTATGGGCAATCGCTTGTAGTTACATGTACGTCTAAAGTAATGCACTTGTGTAAGTTCGTGTGAAACGGCGGGGAGCTCCTGTTTGTCCAGTCCCTTTTCGACTACTAATGTCAATTAAAACACAAAATCTTTCCAACTGACCAGAAGTACAGTTTTTGACGTCAGAAAATTTTGAAAGAGAACATTTTAGAAAGTCTTATTTGGAAACTTCGGCAAGGAGTTTGAGATAAACAACTCTAAGTATTTCACTGGTACTTGTTTAGTCGGTTCAGTGGTTCAACATTTTGAGAAAATCCTTTTCACTTTCTTGGTCTTTCATAAAGATATCTCTGTTTTTTTCCTCTTGATCACTATCTATTCATCTTTGGCTGTACATGACACCTTTGGCTGTTTGATCTGTTTTAGTAAGTGACAAATGAAGTGAGATGTATCATAAATTATTTTATTCTTATCTGCTTTTGCCAGGAATATATGATACGTATATTATTTACCCACTAAACTGTTTCGCAGTTGAATGGTTTGGAACTGTGTTTGCTGACTGGTACTATCACATTCTGCACCACAAGCACTGCCCCGGAGCTGCTACAGCATCCAGAGCTTTCATGTACATATAGTGTTCTAGATTTATAAATGCATCATTTTTTTTTGTTGTTGTTGTTGTTATAGTTTTTGGCGTTTGAAAAGCAGTAGAAACATTGAACATGGAGAGCAGGGATAACTGAAAATAAAAGGCTTAAAAGAAGTTCCTTGAATAAACTATTGTCCTGCATTTGGGAATAGCTTTTATTTTTTTAACTGTTGTTTTGCCGAGTTTGTTTTACGGACATTTTTCGTTTACTTAGTTCTTCGAATCCTATTTTTAACCAGGGGACAATAGGAGAGGTGAGAGCACAGTGGTTTTTCAAAGATTATTTGAAATCTTCTAAAACACTTGCTAATGCATAGGTTTCACATTAAAAGATAAAAGCTATTTTTATTTTGGTAGCAGAAGAAAGTGATACTGTATTTCTTACTAAGATGTTTTTTTTCTGTTAAATCATTTCTTCAAATTTAAAAGATAGAATGGACTTGTTTTGTCTGCCACTCGCTAGATATTTTAGTCGGTTTACTCTGTTCTCTTTTACAGTAGTGTGTAGGGAATGAAATGGTGCCGCGGTTCTTTTACTGGTGCAAGTGATTTTGTACCTTTGTTCCACACTCTACCATTATTCACCTCATCTATAGTGTAGTAATTTCATTATGTTCCATATAAAACCAATGTTTGTTTAGATTTTTTTTTGCAAAAATTCTATACCAAACTTTGTTCACCGTTACTACTTATCAGACAGTTTCAAACAACCTGCCTTAGCATCTTAGTTGCCGCCTATTAAAGATTTCAGC